TTAAACACCCCTGCAGAGGTGTATGAGTACCTCTTCTTTCAGATTACAGTCATGTGAAGAGTGTGGCCCTTAAGGAGCTATGTTAAAATAAGTCACAGTTTCTTAGTTAAATTTATCTTTACCAGAAATCTGTTTTTCATTTGAGATCAAGATGGAGAGATTATCTGTCATCCAATATTACTTGTTTGTAGGGTCTTTTCCATGTACTTGGTTAGGTGCTTTTTTTTTCTTTGACTATTCCAATATTCCATTTTAAAGAGTCTTTGTGACTCTTTACACAAAAGTCTGCCATATATATATATATATATCAGGGGCTGCTATTTATAAATACATAGGAGGTTCACTGTACAAGGACACACGACCAAAGGGTGCATGGGATTTGCCCACTGCTCGTAAACTGTGCTTCCTTGAATGAGATATTTTAATTTGAACTAAAGCCACAGGGAAGATATGGGCTGATAGAGGCCCTGATATTCCTGTATTATATGTATGTAAAATATTTCCTTAACCTTCTGAGACTTGAATTATGCTAGTTTTCCTTTTGTCTTGTTTTTTAAAATTGAAGTTAAATATACATAAATGAGAAGTTTACCATTTTAACCATTTTGAAGTGTACAGTTCTGTGGCATTAAGTATATTCACATTTTGGTACAGCCATTACCTCCACCCATCTCCAGAACTTTTTCATCTTCCCCAACTCTGTACCCATTGAACACTAATTCCCCATTCCCGCCACCCTCTGGCAACCACCATTCTATCTTTTTTTATCTTTCTGAATGTGACTGCTTTAGGTACCTCATATAAATGAAATTATACAATATTTGTCTTTTGTAACTGGCTTACTTCACATGATAACATAATATTTTCAAGGTTTATTCATGTTGGAGCGTGTGTCAGAATTTCCTTTTTAAGGCTGAATAATATTCCATTGTGTATATATACACCACATTTTGTTTATCCATTCATCTGTTGATGGACACTTGAGTTGCTTCCCCTTTTTGACTATATGAATAATGCTGATATGAACATGGGGTGTAGAAGTGTTTCCTGCTTTCAGTTCTTTTGGGTATATACCCATAATTGTAATTACTAGATCATATGGTAAGTCTGTATTTAATGTTTTGCAGAATTGCCATACACGTGTTCATAGTGGCTGTATCATTTTACCTTCCCATCAACAATGCACAAGGATATTCGACTTATCCATATCAACACTTACTATTTTCCATTTTTTAAAAAAAATTTTTGTCAAAACTATATTAATGGGTATGAAGCTGTATCTCATTGTGATTTTCATTTTGCATTCCTTTAATGATCAGTAAACTTGAACATCTTTTAATGTACTTGCTGACCATTTGTATATCTTCTTTGAAGAAATATCTGTTCAAATCCTTTGCCAATTTTTCAATTGGGTTGCTTGTCTTTTTAGTTACTGAGTTCTAGGAGTTCTTAAAATATTCTGGATATTAACCCATTATCAGATTTATTATTTACAGATATTTTCTCTCATTTTCATTCTGTTGTTAATGTCCTTTAATGTACAAAAGTTTTAAATCTTAACTAAGTTCCTATTTTGTATCTATTTTTAATTTTGTAACCTGTGCCTTTGATGTCATATGCAGGAAATCATTACCAAATCAAATGTCTTGAAGTGTTCCCCCTATATTTTCTTCTAAATGTTTTATAGTTTTAGCTCTTACATATAAATCTTTGATCCATTTTGAGTTAATTTTTGTATATGGTGTAAGGTAGGGGTCTAACTTCATTCTTTTTCATGTAAAGATGCAGTTTTCTCATTGTCTTGATGTTTTCAAGACTATGTACAGTCAGTTTTTTATTAATATGGGTAATGGCTTTGAGTAACATGGAGAAGGTTACACATGACCCCAAGTCATGGTTGAAGCAAAATTGTGTTTCTCTGTTGTCCAAGGATGGACTAGCTGGTTTACCAAAGTAAGTTCAGCAGAACCAGGTAAGCATTCACTTCCCCATTGTCTGTATTATTAGATAGTTGTTAGACTGGTGCACATGGTCAGCTCCTTGATGTGGAGAGTGGACAGGAAAAGAGCTAAGCCATCCCTGAAGCTGACCTGGATAAAGAAGAGTAGATCTTGGAAGTTCTGCCTGTGAGTTCTCCCTTGTCCCTGATGGTACACCAGAATCACAGCTAGGCTACACTCCTTAGCTATTTTTAGGTCAGCAAGAAGTGCTATGCAACAGCTGTCTAATTCTACTGTAAACATCACCAATTCTTGGTATAGATGGGTAATTGGATTTTGGCAGAGATAGTAAAGGAAATTTCATAGTATCCTGAATATTCAAAGAACTTCCATTTGCTATAACAAAAATACTGTGTACCTATACTGGGAAGAGCCAGTATACCTGTTTTTGTGGCAGTTATAAAGGTAATGGGGTAAGAACGAAAAAAAAAGTAAAATATAGAAATTGTCAATTGTTGATGGACAGTTTAGTGGGTAAGAAGATGGACTTTAAAGTCAGAAAGAACTGGGTTCTGATGCTACTATACCATTTATAAAGTTGCTTTGGATGAGCTGATGACACTCTTCCGATCTTTTTTCTTGTCTGTATCATGAGAATAATAATAACCAATGCCACGGGTCTCTGTAAGATTAAATGAGATGAAATGTGTACTTCAAGTGCTTTGACAAGGCCAGGCCTGCTAGAAATGCTCAGTAAGAGGCTGGCGTTGCTGAGGGGAGGAAATACTCTGTTACAGATTCCTTTGTTTAATAAGTACCTTTGTCTTCTCTGGTAAGAGGTAGCAAGCTATATTCTAGGAGGAAATGTAACAAGTCACAGGTCTTTTGGTTTGTCTTTGTTTCTGCTGTGTTGTTGTTGTTCTTTGTAACTATTCCAGACTGTCTCAGCTGAGGATTGCTAACATTTGTGTCTTCTGTTTCCTCTTTGGGACCCATGTCAGTGATTTTCAAGTTCTTTGCCTTTTTCATCTGGATTGTCTTTGTAAGAAAATGATTCTTTGAGATTTTCTTGTAATTTATCCGCTCACTTAGTTCTTACATTTAAGAGCTTTTTCTCCTTTCTAAAGTACATATTCATATACTTTACTGAACTCTTTCCTGCTTATTAGGTGTTTCCTGGTTTCGTTGAGATGTGTCGGAGTAATCCTCTTAATCCTTGCATTGATCCTTCCCAGTGAGAAGAGGGGACGTCCTGGCAGCGTGGAGCGGTATTCGCCCCCTTGTTACAGATCCCAAGTCTGCAGATACTCAGTCCATCTCCCGAAATCATGTAGTGGATATCAGTGAGAGCGGCCTCATCACGATAGCAGGTATGGGATATGCACCTTGAGTTGATGATATGCATCATCATACCAGAATCTCTCTTAATGCTAACAAAGAGGGATTTTTTTTAAAAACGATTTTGAGTAAAATGTTATGCATTGCTTTGCCACATTTGTAATAAACAACAGGTGAATTTTGTTAATAATAAGTTGATAAACAGTTAATTAGAAAAACAAGGACGGGTAACCTAATGAATTATTTTTCAACTTACTTGTAGGTGGAAAGTGGACCACCTATAGATCTATGGCAGAAGATACCATAAATGCTGCCGTCAAGACCCACGATTTGAAAGCAGGACCAAGTAGAACTGTTGGGCTTTTCCTTCAAGGGGGCAAAGACTGGAGCCCCACACTCTACATCAGACTTGTCCAGGATTACGGACTTGAAAGTGAAGTGAGTGTGCATTGCGACATCATCTTAACCTAATCTCACTGTTGCCAGTAACAGTCAGAAACATGTGGCCTCCCTGATTTAGCATTTCCTATCATTGGGTTTGTTTCTGCCTGTGTACAGTGGAAGTGAACTAACAGGGGGAAGAAAGCATATTTTGCTTTAGTTGCCTAAAAAGCAATGCACATTTTGGTTTCTGTTTTAGAATCTGGGGTTTGTTTGGTTTGTTCTTAGCAGACAGGACCTCCCAGATTCTTTCTATCTGAAGCATAAGGAAGGCTGTTCTTTAGAAGTGATACCTGGAGCAGAATGAGGTTGAAGCTTCATCAGTCACTGATACAGTGATGCATGTGTATGTAGCAGAGTTAGTGCTGGCATAAGCATTCAGAGCCCTAGTGGTTTCCTCCCACGAAATCAAAATCTAACACTCTCTTAGAACGATTAGTTAGAGGCTGTAAAAGACTGACAAGATAAGCATGTACATCTTTTGCTCGCTACCTAGAAGCTGTGGATATTCAAAGCACCTGCCTGATGCAGTTTTGTCTCCTTAGGTGGCGCAGCATCTTGCCGCCACCTATGGTGACAAGGCTTTTGAGGTGGCCAAGATGGCAAGCGTGACAGGAAAACGGTGGCCCATTGTTGGAGTGCGTCTAGTGTCGGAATTTCCATACATTGAAGCAGAGGTACGTGGATGGCCATGCGGGAATTTCCTGTCCGCCATGGGGTACTATTCATCTGCTCATTTTTCATCCTCTTTAGAAATTATATAGAGCTAAGTTTTAATGCACATACATCAGCTAAAACCGGGAGTAAAATGTCTGCTCAACACAGATCTTCTCATTTACAAAATTTTAACTTCAGCTCTGAAGTGATATTGATAGTGGTAACAATACCAATAGAAAATAGGGCTTTCTTTCCCCTCCACGGATCTATCCCAAGTCTTACCGGTTCTCAGCTGTCTGCCCCCTTTGAGAACTTGTAGCTCCTCAGGTTGGCACCGCCCACGTGCTGCTTGATGATGCATCTTGATTTGACACGTAACCTCTCCCAGATTTAAGCTTTGCTTCTCATCAGGGTTTCACATGTTATCAAACCTGAGACCATGCTTTATATTTCTTTATAAATGACTGCACCTTAAAACATGGGTGTCTAGTAAGCATTTGCTTGTTGTTTGAATGCAAGAATTCTGTCATCTGATTACCCTGAGACAGAAAACTTTGGACAGCCTAAAGAGGTGAGACCATGACTTTTTAAAGCTTGTTCTTTGCCTGCTTGGCTGTGAAAGTTAACATCCTTGCTATGTATAAGCAAAGAGGTGATTACTGTGGATGGTAAATGAGAAGTGATGCAGTTTACATGTTTGTGCCAGGTTCTACTCAGGGAGAAGGCAGTAACTCATGTCCACTGTGTCCCAATTTTCAAACCTCCCTTGGCAGGCAGATGGGGAACTTGTATGATGTCACTGTCTCTTGCCTGCTAGAGAACCAGAGTATGTAAAGAAAAATGTCACCCTTCCTAAGCAAAAATTTTTTTTCAAGTGAAACTTCATTGTCCCCCACCTTTTAAAAAGGCCTAAGTTAATAATTTTACTTTAATTCAAACTCAGGTGAAATATGGGGTTAAGGAGTATGCCTGCACCGCAGTAGACATGATTTCACGCCGCACTCGCCTGGCCTTTCTGAATGTTCAGGCAGCCGAGGAAGCCCTGCCCAGGATTGTTGAACTGATGGGCAAAGAACTGCACTGGGACGATTCTAAAAAAAAGGTATTAACTCAGCAATAAAAAGGAATGAACTGTCACTACATACTATGACATGAATGAATCTCAAAATAATTATGTTGAGTGAAAGAAATCAGATGAAAAAGAGAGTACATAATGTACAATTCCAATTATATAAAAGTCTAGAAAATGCAATTGCTAGTGACAGAAAACAGATCAGTGGTTGGGGATGGGATGTGCAGGGAGAGTCAGAAGAGGGGGTTGCAAAGGGGCAAAGTTGTATGTTTACTATCTGGTAGTCATGGTTTCATGGAGATATATACATATATCTCAAAGCATATCAGATTGTACCCTGTAAGTATGTGCATTGTTGTATGTTAATTATGCCTCAATAAAGGTATTTTAAAACTAAGGAAAAAATTTAAAAGTATTATATAGAAGTCTTTAAAACCACAGTTTCTTTTATAAACATGTAATGTCTTAGTCTGTTAGTAGAGGCCAGCCCAGTTTTTGATGATGACTCTTTTTTGTTTGTTTTGGGGGCGAGGTAATTAGGTTTATTTATTTATTTACTTATTTTAATGAAGGTACTGGGGATTGAACCCAGGACCTTGCACATGCTAAGGACACACTCTGCCGCCGAGCTATACCCTCCCCTTTGACGATGACCTTAGACTTCCTGCTAATTTCTGTGTGTGTGTTTAATATCAATAGGCCTTAGGAAACTGGGAAGATATTTTTGTAACAAATAGCTTGTTGTAACAAATTCCTGTAACAAATATTCTTGTGACCAAATACTCTTTTTTTAGGAGGTGGGGGTTGTTTTTGGAAAATCCCTTATAGAAAAAATGCTCTCAAATTTGTGATCATAATTCCTGAAAAAGTAAGATAATAATGATTGTGGGTAGAATGGTTTCTGGTTTTCATTGAAAACATTCTTAGACTGTATTCTACAGTGAAATTCACACTCCTGCAAGTTTGCCTTTGGTAGGAAATAGTGGTTTTAGGGCCTGACCACCAAATACTTATTGATTTGTGACATTTGAAATTTTATATTTATATCCAAATTAAAAATGAAAGCCAGTGACGATGCTCAGACACCCACACATACAGCCCTGGGCTGCTTGTAATAAATAGAAGATGGTCATGATTTTTTAATTAAACCAAAGTATTGTGGTGTGCAGAGACATGTTCACGTATTTATTCAGAGAATACTCACTGTACTCATTGGTTTGGTTCGTTCCCCCCCGCTCTCTCTTGAACCCACTCCGTTTAGACTCTTTCGCCACTTTGCTGTGTGGCTTTGGTCGTGCTCCCCAGTAACCCCCATGTCGCTCAGTGTACTTGTCAACTCTCAGTCCTCCTTTTACTCAGCCAGTTAGTGGCCTTGACAGTTGATCCCTCCCTCCTTCTTGAACAACACCTACTTAGCGTCCTCAGGCCGCTGTAACAGAGTGCCGCTGACTGTGGCTTAAGCAACGGGCATTTACTTCTCATGATTCTGGAGGCTAGAAATCTGAGATCGGGGGCCAGCGTGGTTAGGTCCTGGTAAGAGCCTTCCACCGGGCTTCAGAGAGCTGCCTTTTAGAGAGTGGGCAGAGAGAGAGAGAGAGAGAGAGAGTGCTCTGCTCTCTTCTACTCAAGGTGCTAATCCTAAGAAGGTTTCTTTGAAGCTAGTTACCTCCCCAGAGCCCCATCTCCAAATGCCATCACTTTGGAGGTTGGTGGTGGGGGGTGTACACTTCAGTCCACGGCACCATCTCTCTTGGATCTCCTCCTGCCTCCCTCAGACTGCTACATTACTGACCTCTCCATGTTATAAACATCTATTCCACTCTTTGCTTGGGCCTCAGTCTTAGTTTATGAAAATTGATCTAACTCCATCAGCAAACCTTATCATATTTATCTTCAAATGACTCAACCCTTTCTTAACACACTCAACTGCTATCACCCTGATTCAGGCTACCAGCATCTCTTACACAGATTATTGTAATAGCTTCTCTCCCCTCAGACAATGTCCCTGCTTTAACAATTTCAATAATTTCTTTAAAGTTAAGGAAGGTCATTGGATATGTTAGTCTGAAATTCAGAGGGGAAGTCTGAACTGGAGATACAAATTTGAGTTGGTATTTAAGCCATCCCACTGGAACAGGCAGTTCATGTAGTTAGATGACAAAAGGTGATCCCAAGGGTGAGCTCTCAGGCACTCCAGAGTTTGGAAGTTGGTGAGGGAAGGAAGAACCAGGAGAAAGAGAAAGTAATGGCTAGTGAGGATGGAGAAGGTGTGGCCGGACTCAGGGGAGAGTTGTGACCCGGAAAGAAAGGAGAAAAGATTTCAAGAAGAGGGGAGTAATCTACTGAGTCAAGTGTTACTGGCAGGCTTAGTTAAGACGAGGACTGACAGGTATTCCTTTGCTAACACCCCATCTCTTTTACTCAGAGTAGAGCCAAGTCATTACCGTGGTGAACGAGGCCCTCTGTGATCTGGCCACCACCTTTCCCACTCCCCTAGTGTTTCTTCCCCCTTCTTCCCTCTCTCCAACCCACAGGTCGAGTTGTTTTTCTTTGATCCTTCTGCCTGGAATGTTCTTCTCTGGATGTCCTCATAGTCTGCCTCCTCACTGCCTGCTGTTCTCTACCCCAGGGAGGTCTCCCCTAACCAGGCTGAACAGTCAAGTACCACCACCTCCCCAACCCAGTCTGAATGGCATTTTCTATCCCTTCCTTTATTTTTCTCTGTAGCACCAGTTCCCATTTGATGTACCATGTATTTAGTTGTTTATTTATTGTCAGCCTTTTCTCCAGAAAGTAAACTCTCCAAAGGTGGAGACATGATCTGTTTTGTTTCAGATATGCCTGGCAT